TTTTTTTTTTTTTTTTGTATGTGTCTAATTCTGATAATGCACTGCTAGGTATGGCAGCAGACGAGCACCACTAACGAGTTACCGTCAATATAACTAAACGGTGGCTTATACATGTGTCTGGAATTTTTAAAGCGTGATCCTGTTCGTGCGAACGAATAGCCAACGTGAAGATAAATAAGAAATAAATCGGTGAATATTTTCTGATAAATAATTCTTCGAATAGTTAGTCTAATAAAAATAACGATGAAAATTAAAATTGATAAAATCTGAATACATGGATCATAGATCATAGTTCATATTGATTATTATATCTTTTGAAGGCTGTCGTTACGCACGTTCAGAAAATGAATTATTGTTATTTCATTACGCGTCACCAATTACAATTACATTTACATATTTTGTATCCCAGAACATGGGGTGAAAAGTAATGTAAAAAATGAAAAGTATGTGGCGTAAGTCAATCTACTGTTAACTCTGCGTTTATTATTTATATGAAAGAATTCATTATGTTTTTTCGAATCGCGAAAAAACTTACCCTTAAGGATAATTGCGCAAATTGAAGTTATTATGGACACATGGTGTTGAAAAAGGTGGGAATTAAACGGAAACTTCTTTTCATCTTTAAACATTATAACACGTACTTTAATTTGGATATTTCTTTAATATGATATTCGTTAATTACATTTCTCTGCATATTTAAATTTTTCGTAGATGCGCGAAAATCCTTGGACAAGTTGTGAACTGAATTAGTTGATACTCTTGAGGATTAGAGTATGCAATTGAAATCTAAATTCTCGAAACCTTAACTTACGCCATTATGATTTCCATTGTACATGTATTTTGTTTCGTAGTGAAATAACAATGAAAACCGCAACTATTGTGAATTGTTTTATATGTTCTATTCTTCTCAACTCTATCTACACTGTCGTTTCTATTCTACGATTAATTTATCAATTTTCACGTTCTCGCTAATATCGAACGTATCTCGCAGGTACACGTTACGAAGGAGTATCTACAACTCGAACCTATCGGTCTGGTATTCGTATTCTTCTTCGCGTTGATATTGGTCATTCAATTCACCGCGATGCTGTTCCATCGATTTGGCACGTTCGCTCATATTCTAGCCAGCACCAGCTTAGATTGGTACTGCTGCAAAAAGGTGAGTATTTTCCGAAATTATCGGTCTATAAAGTTTCATTACAATTAATATCGAGAAGTTTTTTTCCATTGTTCAAGATGATTTTTCTAAAGATACTAAGATGAGAAATTCTGTATTATTACTTTCCCTATTATCGTTGCCAATAATCATCGATTACCGTCAATAATCAATATGCTCAAAATTTTATGTAGTTTTGTTCACTAGTCACCAAATATATAAATAAATTAAATTATGGCGTTACGGACTAATTAAGTTCGATTCGTTTGGATAGTACAGTAAATACTTCTTGAAATATATCTATGAGCAATGTTCACGTTACAGGTAATGTACAACAAATTACACACTGACATTATCAATTAAAATTACAATCTATTTAAATAATTAGATTTATAAATGAAACAATTGAAATCTTTCTTCTTCGTAAAGTATTGCAGATTTGAAATAGAAATAGAAATTTAGTATTGAATTACTAGTATTAGTAGTAGTATTGAATAAAGGGGTTGAATAGTATCAGTATAGAAATAGGATAGAAATAGTATAGAATTAGTATTGAATTATT